ATTCATCAAATTATTCTTAAATTTTTACCGTTGATTGTATTATTCTTTAGAACTTTACTTTTCAGCTTATTTGTTGCTTTAACGAAAAAGAGATATCTTGTGCTGCGTGGCCTTGGCATGAGCTGAAAACCGTGGTAAACGGGTCCACACTCTTTCCAACATCCATAGCACAGCTTAAAGGAAAATCAAAGTGTCTCCGTTAAGTTGAGGACAAGCAATATTGTACGCCGCTTTGACTAAAGCGGGATCCAACCTAGAGAGTACTAGCGACGAATTATAGCATGTCGCAGTTTGAAAGCTTATCAAAAAATAATGCCTTTACAAATGGTGTTCTCTGGAAAGAATTCCTTTTTTCGACATGACCGAGTATTTTGAAGTCAATGATTAAGAAAATTAACGTTTTGGAAAGTAACCTTTTTACCACCAGTTTTTAGCTTTCTGTTATCTTTAGCAGAAAGACTGTTGATTGCATGGTTGAGAATAAACATTAAAAATTCTTAATACACAAAGACGGTTTCCTTCGGAGAAGAATACGAACGGTCAAAATGATAACTAGTGGTAACATAGAACAGTCGGCTGAATGCTGTTTTTCTATTCTACTCAAACTGTTTCAACGAGTCAAACGTCTGAACTCCTCCATTTTCTGAAAAACCGTGTTGCCAAAAGCATTTCTCTTTTGTATACGTTTGGTGAATTCTTAGCGAAATCTTTGAAAATAACCCATTTAAATTTGTTACTAATAACGGAAAAGGCTTTTCAATGAACGTGGTTAGTAGAACCTCGTTTATGATCCTCCTTCACCATTCATTGAATTATTCTGTGTAAATCAATCCATATTTTAGTTTATTTGTCATTACAAGGTAAAAGAAGCTGAACTTGCTTTGATGTGTGTACTTTTTATCCGCATATACAACGGTGACGTGGGTGTGTGGGCATTCTTTCCAGTATAAAAAACTGTGAAAAGAAATCTACTGATAAAAAGGAAAACTAACGATTTCGACACCTAATCACCACCGATGTTTACCTTTCTGTAAGCTTGAAGTAAATTTAAATGAAGCTTTATACACCAAGAAGGGTGGCTTCGGGAAAGAATAAGGCCCGAAGATGATACTAGGTGGTAGAAAAGAATAGTGACTGTCTGTCGAACGTTGTGCTTCCTTTGACAACAACGATTTAAACGTTCGAGCTGCTTACAAAGCTATCTTCTCGATTTTCATAAAAAACATATTTCGTCGAGAATTGACCTTATTTACATTCAAATGCAGCAATTTTTTAGGCTAAACTGTGAAAGATCTATTTCCTTAAAAACTCCTTTTTTATTAAGGGGAAAGGCTTTTCGTGGCGAGGTACGTAGAGTCACATTTTTGACCCTCTTTTACCATTCATCATACTATTCTCAGGTTAGCATTTATTGTATTATTCTTTAGAACTTTATTTTTAGCTCGTATTTATTTCTATAACTTAACAGTTATCTTTTTATCATTTATCTTTTACATGCGTGACCTAGGTATCCGCTGAAAGCCGTGGTAAACGGGTCCTCACTCTGTCCAACATCATTAGCACAGCATAAAGTTATTAAAGTGTTTCCGTTAGGTTGAGGACAAGCAACATTGTACGCCGCTTGACTAAGCGGGATCTACCCTAGAGAGTACTAGCGACGAATTATAGCATGTCGAAGTTTGAAAGTGTCAAAAAATGATGCCTTTAAAAACGATTTTCTCTTAAAAGAATTTTTTTTTTTTGAAACGACCGAGTATTTTGAAGTCAATCATTAAGAAAACTAACATTTTAGAAAGAAAACTTTTTTACCATCAGAGTTTTGCTCTATAACCAGAGTATAATACCATCAACTGACGTGATGCAACTTACCTTGACTCTGAAGATGATCGCACAGGTTGTCGAAACATCAGTAAATGTCAATGTCAACAACAACAGTTCTATTCAGGACTACGGTTACTCGGACGATGAAACTCAACCTACTTTTGAAATGACTCCTGGATTTAAACCTTTCACATGATAATTAGTGGTAGAAAAGAATACAGTCGAACTTCTCGGTGCGCACACCTCTCTAATACCGACTCCTCTCTATTACGGACAGTTTCCAATGTCCCGAGAAATTCTCATATATTTTCTTTAAAAAACCTCCATAATACCGACTCTCTCTAATACTGACAACGGACACGAAATCTCGGCCTCAGAGAGTAATTTCATATAAACTTAACCTCTTTATTACGGATACTACTGTGATCAGGTGGCGATCCCGAATCCCGATCAGGTGAATCTGCACAGGGCGAATCTCGTCTTTGACCCTCTTTGACCATTCTTTGTATTATTCTTTAAAACAATGTTTGTCAGCTTTTTTAACTTAAGAATCATCTTGTACATGTGTGACCTTGGTACCCACTTAAAATCGTGCCGTAAAAAAATAAAGGGTCGACAATCTTTCCAACATCACTAAAAGGAAATTAAATTGTATTTTATCAGTTTGATTACAAGCAATATTGTATGCCGATTCGACTTAAGCAGGACCCATTTTCTTTTCGAAGAATTATAGCATGTCTCATTTTGTTAGTATTAAAAGTTCATGTCTTTAAAAAAAGTGTTTTGATGATAGAGTAGGTTTAAGTCAATAATTAAGCACAACTAACGTTTTGGAAACCTGTTCAACACCGGAGTTTGGCTTTCTAAAGAGCTTTAACAGAACTGACTATCGATTGTATCGGTGATAACAAAATTCAAAACACCCTTCATAGAAGAGGGGTGGCTTCGGAGAAGAGTAAGTCCGACCGAAGATGATAACTGGTAGTAAAAAAGATTATAATAAGATTCCAACACCCTTTTATTTTTCACTTTTTGATTAACTTTTACAAATATTTGCGTGAACCTTTTTATCACATAAAACGAGAAGGTAAGACGTCCTTTTTTGGCTTCATAAGCCATCGGAAAAGTTGTTTTGGTCAGTTTGCCAACGGCAAGTAAATCTACATCGACTCAAGTTTGCACCCAAAATCAGATATTCATTATTTGAAAAAGGTTCTTTTGAAGGAAAGACTCCATCCATGACATCTACTAAGTTACTATGGGCTATGGTTACTATGGTTACTTCACTCTGCTGCCGAAGTAGGTGACAGCGCTGTTTTATTTTTATTCCGTCATTGAGATCCGAGCCAACAGGCGTTAATAAGGCGGCGCAGTGAGTAGAAGGAGTCTTTATAACATCAGTGGCTTTCTTACGAGTGACTGCAAATAAAACCGTACAGAGATGGCGAAGACGGCTTAGGACACGTTTTGGTTACCTTGTTCTTTGGCCGAAAGTCGAGACAGCTGACTAAAACTGAGGAAAAGGGTAACAATTGAAATTAGCCCAGATAATACTGAAAGCATCAACAGCTGTGGCACCAGGTTCTCGATGCCATGAAACTAAACTATCAGACTTGGCATTAAGCCTTGATGCAATAAAAAGTAGATTACATGAACGAAGGTCAAGCCTGCGTTAGGTTATTAACTTTTGAGACCCCTCCAAGTAAGATGGATCAAGTAAAGTCTACGGCCAATGGTCTCAATCATCCATAAACCCGTCACAAAACTACTTTCTGATAAAAACAATGGGACCAAGAGGCAATTCTAAAGGATAAATCCAGATTGGTAACGGGAGAATGATTTTAGCCATTGCTGCACCATGGTGGTTCGGTGACAGATTTGCACATTAACTACACCACGGATACGAAATACTGCAAGATCACCATTCAGAAACTAAAAGAACAGCTCATATCACTAAAAATTTTAGGTTTTTTCGTGTAATGCGTGATAAAATAGTTTGTGGGTCCCAGAGAGTCGATTATATACGATTTTAAAACGTGATATTCCACAGTGCTATGAATGCCCTCTATTACAACGTTCCCCATGGTATTGTACCCTATTTTTGACTGCTTTCTTAAGTGAGAGAAAGAAGGTCGGTACTTCATGTAAGCACTGCGTATAATGTCCTGAGACATAAAGTACTTAGGAGGTAGGTATAGGTGGTGTAAGCATCATATAGCCTTACATAGCCAACATAGCCATACATAGCCATAAATAGCCCTACAAACCCATACATAGCCATACACAGCCCTACATAGCCCTACATAGCCCTACATAGCCATACATAGCCATAGACAGCCATACATAGCAATACATAGCCATACACAGCCATACTCGGGGGTGGAAGCTGAATAATGAATAATGAATAACGGGGTTTAAAAGGAAATGAATAATGAATTTTGGGAGTTAGAAAATCGGGAATAATGAATAACACCATCTAGCCTCGGAACAGCTCATAGCTGCTAAAAGATCCCATAAAAACGGATGACGAAAGAAACAATTTCAACTTTTCTGCCCATCGTAAACATCGGAATCCGCCCGAAATCAGTGAAATCCAAAGCGGCAAATCCCGAAATCAAACTCCTGAAAATCAGCGTTCTTTTCCTACAGCCAATCCGTTAGCACGTAATTGACAGCCTGCAAAGTTGCATGTCAATCACTAGAGATGTTTGACCTTTGCAGGTTCCCCTTTTTACAGTTCGATGTGTTGTGTGTCTACAGTTTACGCCCACCGTATTCTCGTATGATTGGATCGCTTTTCTAAAGTCCGCTTCTTCATTTGATTTTGAACAATGGAAAAAAAGAAGAGGTTGACTTTGATCGTCCGGGTGAAAGTAGTCCTGAATAGGACTATTGTTGTTGACAGTGACTGACGTTTCGACAACCTGTGCTGTAGTCATCTTCGGAGACAAAGTGAGTTGTTATATTCCTAGACTTTCACTCAACTAACCAGGGGCTGTCATTGGTTGATTCCTGGTCACGTGGCCTTGACTAAAATCAAATGTATCCCGATCGTGATACATCACGCAATGTACCCCGCTCGGGATACATTACAGCACGTGATCAAAGCATGGTGCAAAGTGGCGTGATTGAAAGCGGGAATTTTAACTTTTGTGAATGAACGCAGCAAAACAAAAATTATGGAGCCTGAACCTGTAAGGAAACGATTCAAACAGCTCACAAATGAAGAGATACAGCAACTGGTTGAGGCCAAGGATTCCGAAAATACAAGGAGAGCGACTAAAAATGCCGTTGCTACTTTTCTAGCATTCTGTAATGAAGTTACGCCTGAAGAACCCGTGAAAAACACAGAGTCCCTGGAGAAAATGTCGAAGAACGAACTGAATGAACTTCTAACGAATTTCTGGCCGAATGCCCGGAAAAAGAATGGAGACAATTACAAAAAGACTGCCTTGATGGGACTACGATTTGGTCTGCAAAGGCACTTTCTACTGAAAAGAGATTTTGACATCATTAATGACGGCGAGTTTTCCAAATCAAATCAAGTTTATGAGGCGGCAGTTGTCGAGTTAAAGCGGCAAGGATTTGGTAGAGTTGATCACCACAGGCCGATATCAAAGGAAGATCTAGAAAAAATTCAGTCTTGCTACAATCCATCCTCTCCAGATCCTAAATCCCTCCAGCAAGTGGTTTGGTTTAATCTCATGTTCCACCTAATTCGCCGCGGGAGAGAAAATCTCCGTCTTCTTACAAAACAGACGTTTGCCGTGCAGGCTGATGGAACTGGTAAGAAGTACGTATATCAAGCACTTGATGAACTGGACAAAAATCACAGGGGAAAGGATCAACCGGATGATTCTCCAGGTGAAGGCCGTATGTATGAAAGACCGAATAGTCCGTACTGTCCAGTAAAAACTTTTGAACTGTATTTATCAAAGCTTAATCCTAATTTGTCGTGTTTGTGGCAAAGGCCGAAGGCGCGTGAAAGTTTTAGCGAAAGTGATGAAGTTTGGTATTGTAATGCTCCTCTCGGGAAAAATACGCTAGCTACGTTAATGAGTTCCATTTCAAAGGAAATACAATTGTCTTATCAGTACACCAATCATTGTATTAGGGCAACTGCAGTATCGTTATTAGACGAGTGTAATTTTGAGGCCCGCCATATAATGCGTGTTTCTGGCCACAAGTCTGAGAGCAGCATTCGCTCTTATTCAAGGCGCCTTTCTGAGGTTAAACAAAAGGAAATTTCCCATTCACTCAGTACTGCATGTTTTGAAAGTTTAGAGAGGCAAGAGCAAACTGCAGAGGCAGATTGTCCTCTAGTCGGAAACACAGTGCCAAGATCACCCATCACGATGCAAAATTTCGCATCGCAAAGCCAGGAAACGGTTAACTTTAACGCAGGCGCATTTTCAGGAGCAACTGTTACTATAAACTTTTATCAAGGTAATTCCAAGTGATTCTCTTTGAGCTTATCTCGATATTGAGCTTTTAAGTCCAGAAACTACTTCTTCATACACTTTGTGCTAAGTAATTCATTTACAGATTTGAATTAAATGTGCCCTTTGAAGTACTGACATTGTTTTCATTCGTTTTTTACTTCTTTGTCACAGTTGAAGTAAAAGTCTAGGAATATAACAAAACACTTAATGTCAGTTCCCTCGAGAAACAGTTAGTTTTGTTTTCCCTCGGGAACTGACATTAAGTGTATATTGTATCACGTCAGTTGATAGTATTATACTCTGGTTATTGATCTGATTGGTCAATTATGTCGCGGTGTTATTGGTCGTCTGTCAGTTAAGCCGTGATGTTTTTGAAGACTCGTAATCAGTGATTGGGGCGTTTCGATCCGTCTATTGTCATAATTAAACAGTCGTCTATTGTCAGTCAAATTGTTAGTTCTCCAGTTGTTCTCTCGTAGTTAGTTTTGCTTGATCTCGTCAATAAGTCGTTTGTACGGCGCTGCTAACTGTTGGCTACGATTCAGTGGCGTTTGTTCTAAGTTAGTAAACCAGCTTTCTAAAGTGAGACGTTGATAGTAGTCTGTAGAATATGTTATGGATGTCGCAGAGTCCCAGTCAATTTGATGTTTCGTCTTTAAATGGTGCTTAGCAATGTGATTGTTGATGTCACCATTCCTCGTCGCGCGTTTGTGTTCGGTCAGTCGCGTGCTTAGGTTTCTGCCGGTTTCACCAATGTAAGAAGCCTGGCAGTCGCAGTATTTGATCTTGTATACTGCTCCCTGTCTGTCCTCCGGTTTGTCTTTGTCCTTGACGTTGGTAAGCAGTCGCCGTAAAGTGGTTATCGGTTTGTGCGCAACACGTATATTGTAAGTGAATAATGAATATCACGATGACTATGAGGTGCAGGGTCAAACCGCTTCTTGGTTCAAGTCTTACCTAAAAGACAGACAGCAATTTTGCGTGGTAAACGGATTGTCGTCTGTAAAAAATCGTATCGTATGTGGCGTTTCACAAGGTTCTTTATTATGCCCATTCTTGTTTCTTATTGACATTAATGACTTACCAAATTGCCTAGATCATAGTATAGGAAGGTCATTTTCTGATGATACAAATTTAGCGTTCTCTGCCGTGGATTTATCAATCCTTCAGACTGAAATGAACAACGACCTTAACAGAATTTTTAATTGGCTCAGCTCAAAAAAAACTCACGTTGAATATTCTGAAAACAGATTTTATGGTGATAGGTTCTCGGCAGAGAATTGCAACATTAGCTGGAAATATAACTTTTTACAAAGTGTCTTGGTCTCACTGTCGACCAATTTCTTACTTGGAGAAATCATTTACAAAGTGTCAGACAAAAGGTGGGGTGTACCATTAGAATTCTTAAGGGCATTAGGCCTTTTGTTGGTTTGGAGCACCTCATAAACGTATACAGGTCAATAGCTGAGCCTTATTTTACCTATTGTTGTATTGTTTGGGATAGTATTGGCGAAACGTTGGTAAACAGTCTTCAAAAGTTGCAAAATAGGGCCGCTCGTGTTATTACAGGTGCTTCATACTCGAAACATTCAGCTGATATTCCGCATGAACTTGGATGTCTCTCACTTAGTGAAATGAGACAACATCAAATGGCATTAATGATGTTTAAAGTAAATCATGGCCTCTGTCCCTCTTATTTGTCTCACATGTTTGACGTTAATACAAGCCGGCTCAGTTATGACCTCCGCTCTTCCGGAATGAATTTAATAGTGCCAAAAGCAAGAACAAACTATTTTAAGAATAGTTTTGCTTCTGCAGGCGCTAAGCTCTGGAATTCTCTTCCTTCCAGTTTAAAGGAAGAGACTTCTTTAAAACAATTCAAGGCTAAGATCAGGTCGTATTTGCTATCTACACAAGCCTCATAAGTTAAGTTTTAGGTTTAACATTGTGTACGATCTTTCTTGGTTTAGTTTTAAGATATATATCTATATCTTTATGTAAGTTAAATAACGCACGGCTTTTAGGTAGAACAGATGCTTTATGTAAAGTTATTTGATAAAATTACCGTGGGTAAATAAAGTTTCACTCACTCACTCACTCACTCACATAGCCCTACATAGCCATACACAGCCATACATAGCCCTACATAGCCATACATAGCCCTACATAGCCATACATAGCCCTACATAGCCATACATAGCCATACACAGCCCTACATAGCCCTACATAGCTATAGACAGCCCTACATAGCCATACATAGCCATACATAGTCGTTCATAGCCATACACAACCCTACTTAGCCCACATAGCCATTTATAAAATAACTAAGATAGTATCCGCGCTCTGATTGGCGAGAGGAGTGTTTGCATGAGAGTATGTAAACATCGCTGTGGCGTCAAGATGTTTCGCTTTTCGCGCGGGTATCATGCAAGCACGAATTTGAAAAAGCTTTGGAGTTCAAAACTCGGCAAGTTTACTTTATTTACCCATTTCTTAGTCGGCGGAAACTTGGAAAATCCTTACGAAGAAGGTGTGTCAATTTCTCTTCGCTTAAGGTGACATTTTAAGCGACAAAAATCCGTATTTTAGAAAGCATCTTTCTGCAAAACAAGAACTGATTACAGTCGTGCAAGACTTCGTGGACAAGACTTTGCGACTGGTAAGAATTAATCTTTTAATTAGTGCCATACAAAGAGTGTTGCGTTTTTTCTCGGAAAAGTTATTTTATACAAGCAATGGAAAACTCATTTCCTGTGTTTGCATAGCCTGATATAAACACTCGAGGCGTTGGGAGAATTCTCGACATTTATACAAACCCTCGACTTCGTCTCGGGTTTGAATAACTGTCTCGAATTCTCCCAACCCCTCTCGTGTTTAAATGGGGCTATGCAAACAGAAAACGTTTTTTGTTGCTTAAATATAGCTATACATAGACATACATAGCCATAATACGCCATTGTCTTGATTTTCAAAGCTGGCGCTTTTCGCTAATAGTGGGCTGTGACATATAGCCTAGTAGTAGCGCAACCAATCAGAACGCAGCATTGATAATGTAGCATCAGGTCAGCGGTTATATTTAGCGCATGCCTACTGGAATAAAGTGTGTTCATTTGCATCCGCCATCTTGAGTGTATGTTGTGTCTTCACGGAGAACACTTCATGGCGTCAGAAGTGGGATGGAGCACCTGAAACCGCCTGAAGCTCTGATATTGTCTACAGCGACGAATAAAGCCGAAGCATGGCGGCGTTGGAAAATGTCATGGGACCTGTACAAAGTTGCGAGCGGACTCGATCAAAAGGATGAGAAGATTCAAGTCGCTACTTTGCTCCGCGTGCTTGGCAAGGAATGTGTGGAAATTTTTTCAAATTTTGTGTGGGATTCCGAGGATGATCGGTATAAAATTGGGGCCGTCGAGGGAAAGTTCAAAGCTCATCGTGCACCACTGACCTCGAGGCACTTCAATCGTTATTTATTTATCGAACGGAAACAGCAAGACGGAGAGACAGTCGATGAATTCTGTAGCGCATTGAAAACACTGGCTTAGAACAGCGACCTTGGTGACAAAGAAGAATCTTGGATTACATCCATGTTAGTCCTGAGGCTTAAGGATCCGTCTTCCAAAGAAAGGTTGATGGAGAGAGAACAGAGTTTAGAGAAAACGTTGCAAGCAGCTCGCATCGCCGAAACAAGCAAGCAGCACATGAAGAGCATAAAAGAAGAGGGTAGCAAAGCTGAGGAAGTGGATGTAGTAGACGGCAAAGGACAGACGCCTCAATGGGTAATGCCCTGTAGGAGTTGTGGTATTCGACCTGCCCGAGATTCATGTCCTGCTGCTGGGCGACGCTGCCACAAGTGCCAGAAAATGAACCATTTTTTAAGGATGTGTCGTACCCCAGATGGACAATAGAAACAGGTAAACACTCTTGATGATTGTGACTCTGACTCTGAAGTTATGTTCATTGGAGCAGTCAATGCAGGAGACAAAGACTGGGTTGAAACTGTCAATTTTTGAACTGTTCAAGAAGTCTTTAAACTAGATACTGGGGCCCAGTGCAATGTCTTGCCCAAAGCCGCATATGACAAAATTACAAGATACCCTTTGCAACCTTCCTCGGCAAGATTAGAAAGTTACTCCAAAACTTGTATTAGACCTGTTGGAAAGTGTTAGTTGCCTTGTTGGGTGCGTGGGGAAAGGTATCAAGTATGTTTCAAAGTGGTTGATGGAAATTACATGCCCCTCCTGGGTAGATCATCCTGTGAGAATATGGGCCTAATCCAGCGCATAAATGCTATTGAAAGTGTCAGTATTCTTGATGAGTTCCCTGAAGTATTCCAAGGACTTTGGTGCCTCCCAGGGAAATATCACATTAGTGTTGACCCCTCTGTTCCTCCTGTGGTCCACCCAGCCAGACGAGTTCCTCACTCCAAGCGAGTCCCACTGAAGAAAGAGTTAGATCGGATGGAAAATGTTGGAATTGTAGAGAAAGTTCCCTTGAATGAACCTGCCGATTGGGTAAGCTGCCTTGTTTGTGTTGATAAACCGGATGGGTCTATTCGTGTATGCTTAGATCCTAAAGATCTTGATGTTGCCATTAAAAGAGAACACTACCCTCTGCCAGTGGTAGATGACATCACAACTAGTTGTTCAGGAGCCACACTATTTTCAACTTTGGATGCAGAAAAAGCATTCTACCAGATCCAGTTAGACGAGGAGAGTAGCAAGCTCCTGACATTTAATACCCACTTCGGGAGGTATAGATACCTGAGGATGCCGATGGGGCTCCAGAAGTTTACCAACAAAGAATGGAGCAAGTCTTTGAAGGACTACCGGGTGTGAAAGTCATCATGGATGACATAATCATACATGGTCGAACTGGGCCGGAACATGATACACGGTTGAGGGCTGTTCTGCAGCGTACCAAAGATAACAATCTTAGATTGAAGAAGTCAGTGCCGTATACAACAGGAAAAGGTGAAGTTCCATGGCCACTTGTTCTCCCATGACGGTTTGAAGACAGACCCAGAGAAGGTCAGAGCCATAGTTGAAATGCCAAGGCCAACAGATAAAACTGGTGTACAAAGATTGTTGGGGATGATCAACTATGTCAGTAAATTCATCCCCAACATGTCTGACCTTACTGTACCATTAAGACAGTTACTACACCAAGATGTTGAGTGGCACTGGGAAAAGCAACAGGAAGCTAGTTTTAAGCAATCAAGGAATCGCTTGTCCTCGCCCCTATTTTAGGATATTATGATGCAAAGAAATCCCTGACGCTACAAGTTGATGCCAGTTCAACTGGGCTGGGTGCAGCATTGATTCAGGAAGACCGACCAATAGCTTATGTCTCAAAGGTACTTACGCCCACTCAAGAAAGGTATGCCCAAATTGAAACGGAACTTTTTGCAGTAGTATTTGGTTGTGCCAAATTTGCAGAGTACATCGTGGGTCGTGATGTCACCGTTGAATCAGATCATAAACCTTTGGAGGCAATTATGAAGAAGCCCTTACGTGTAGCACCCTTACGGCTGCAACGGATGTTGGTCCAACTCCAGCGCTTTCCAGGAATCAATGTGGTATACAAGCTTTGAGACAGCCTTCATTTAGCGGATGCTTTGTCTCGAGCCCATTTGGAAGAACAGCTGACGAATGCTGAGCAATTGGACATAGACTAAGTAGAGGATGTTATCTCTGACCACCAGTTAGCCCGTTTCGCTGAGGCAACTAAAGAAGATGCGATTTTGTCTGACCTGCAACAAGTTATATTGTCGGGTTGGCCAGATTCCAAAGGTCAAGTCCCACCCAGTGCACAGGAGTTTTGGAACTACCGTGATGAATTAACAGTAGCCCAGGGACTGATCGTTGAGGGACAAAAGATTGTTGTACCAAGTAGCTTGAGAGGAGAGATGCTTGAAAAACTGCATAAGGGAGACCTGGGTATCAAAAAGACAATAGCGAGAGCGCGGGACGTATTGTTCTGGCCCAGAATGACTGTGGAAATAACCGAGAAGATTAAAAACTGTCCTGTATGTCTAGAAAATCGACCAAGTCAGCAGCCTGAACCATTGAAGTCGCTCGAGATTCCACCATTGCCTTGGGCTAAGGTTGGCACAGATATTCTGCACAAGAATGGTCGGAACTACCTCGTTACTGTCGATTATTACTCCAAGTGGCCAGAAATTACTTTACTCCCGTCAATGACGAGCACCAGAGTAATGACAGCTCTTAAATCCCAGTTCGCAATATATGGAGTCCCTTCAGTTGTCGTTTCTGACAATGGCCCCTGTTACAACTCTGCAGAATTTAGGAAGCTTTCAGAAGACTGGGATTTTGAACACATCACTTCAAGTCCTGGCTACCCACAATCCAATGGCCAGTCAGAGAGAACCGTCCAGACCGTTAAAGCAATGCTGGAGAAAGCTGGTGACCCATACAAAGCTCTCCTTTCTTACCGAAATACTCCCCTGGAGGAAGTTAATCTGTCACCCCCACAAATGCTAATGGACAGACGTTTGCGAACCTCAATTCCAGCGACTGAGGATTTGTTGAAACCTCAACTCTATGACCCTGAAGATGTCCTCCCTAAGTTAAAAGAAAGACAGAGAAAGCAGAAGCTGTAGCATGACAGAAAAGCAAAGGAACTGCCTCCTTTGAGGGATGGTGAGGTTGTAGGAGTTAGAGAAGGCAACAAGTGGAAACCTGCTAGAGTTACACAGGTTCTTCCCTCACCCAGATCTTATAAGGTTGAAACAGAGCGTGGAGAGTACCGAAGAAACCGTCGACATTTATTAAGAACTGAAGAGTCTCAGATCCCGGAAATCACCCCTACACCGGAAGTCTCGAATGATGAGGACCTGACAAACACTGAAGTTGAGCCATCCTCTGTTAGTGTGGCCCACGAGAATCCTGTAACACCGCCAACC